GATTCAAGCACGGGAAAGTTGTTTCTGTTGAGTTGGGCCTAGTTGTTTTTATTCTTATTTTAAGTTGTTTAGTTAGGAAGTTGTTGGGCTTTAGGCCCATTAGTTTATGTTTTTAAGTTGTGACTGTTTAGCTACATTAGTAGCCGCCCTACTAAGGGCATCCTTGTAATATCTCATCCTTTAAGTTAAGTATAAATATAATGAGGGGTTGGCGGCTAGGGTTAATCTAAGAATCCCGGTTGACCTCCTACTCTTTTCTCCTTCTCTTTTCTTCTCTACTGCTAAAATCTTCATCTTCCTCCTCTTTCCCTTCACAAGAAATTCGACTAAATCTGCAATCAGTGATTTCTACTATTTCCACTCCTTCAATAGAGTGTGTCTCTAGGAGCCAATATGTTACCATGGATGTCACCTTTTTGAATCCACATACTTCTTCTCAAAGAAACCTTCTCAGGGGAGTGTTTTGGGGAAGTGAATCAATAGTCTATTCCTCTCCCAGTTCCAGTCCCTGTGTCTACTCTTGTGCTTGACCCTCCTGTGTCACCTACCTTACCAGCATTACTTATGACAGACTTCACAAGGAGGTTGATTCCACTACAACAAAACTCACATCACTTCTTGTCGGTTCCTTGGAGACTCCAGATTCAGGTATTCCTCTTGGTCCCGCTATTGTTTCAGTTCCCATTGATTCTACTAACCCTGTTACAGATAACCTTGCTCTTCCTATTGCTCTCAGAAAAGGGAAGAGAAAGTGTACTGCTCATTGTATTTCACAGTACTTATCCTACAGTGGACTTTCTCCTTCCTACCGTGTTTTTCTTTCCTCTCTTGACTCGGTGTCTATACCCAAGAGTGTTAGTGAGGCTTTCTCTAAACCTGAGTGGAAGACAGCTATGCAGGAAGATATGGCAGTTTTGATTAAGAATCAGACATGGGACATTGTGGATCTACTAGAAGGCAAGGAGACAGTTGGATGCAAATGGGTTTACATAGTAAAATATAAGGCAGATGGAAGTATAGAAAGGTATAAGGCAAGACTTGTTGCAGAAGGGTACACACAGACCTATGGCATTGACTACTTAGAGACTTTTGCACCAATTGCAAAGATGACCTCTGTTCGAATACTTCTTTCTCTTGCTACCTCATACTCTTGGCCCTTGTTTCAACTTGATGTGAAGAATGCTTTCCTAAATGGGGATCTGCAAGAGGAAGTGTATATGGATCTTCTTGTTGGTTTCTACAGTGATGCTAAAAAGGGAAAGGTATGCAGGCTTAAGAAGTCACT